ATCCCTCAAATCGATAAATAACCAAGAATCCTCCCTAGTGGAGTCGCCAAATTGTAGGCGTCGCTCAAAGCGCGCCTACGTTAAAAGCATGTTGTGATATGCTTGGTACTCATAGGAAGTGGGAATTGACATATACGATTAGGGACAACGATTAGGGACAAAGCAAAGTAGGGAGCCGCCAACAAGTTTTTAAGGAACTTGTAAACTGTTCACGGATCATAAAAGGCAACCACAAATAAGGGACAACGATAGACACAACAATTGACCCGTGAAGATTACACCCCATTCATAATCCATGAGATTACTAAGTCCATATGGTTCGGAACCACGAAAGGAGGATCGGGGATGATGGTACGAAGTGAGTCATGGAGTCACATTCGCCCGTATTGGTCTCTACTCGATTCTTAAAGTGAAAAGTGATTCCTACGATCTCAAAGGCATACAAACAAAATATTCAATTTGCTCCATACTATTATTAGGCTAAATTGGTTGAATATTAATGCAACACATAATTCTAAAATATCGTGATCACTTGATTAAACAACAAGATTAAAAAGGAACCTAAACCGGTCATCCAAATTATCTTATTAGGCGTGATTTTTAATTACATATTCCCTTTAAACATGCAATATAGTGATCCTAACAATAATAGAATAAACATTAATATTGGAATCAATTTAACAATAATAACTGTAGACACCCAAATGTGTCTCCCCAAAACCAAACCCAGTGATGAGTACCTTTCACGTTGAATCATAATCGAATGAAGCGAAAGTGTGGAAAGTCTAGTATTGGGATACTTTTAATTTCTTTTCTCTTCTCTCTGTTTTTGAAAACTTATTTTTGAGAAAACAGCCAATACAGTTTGGTTGGTCCATAATATGGGTCTAATAGTAGTTTAGTTGGATGGGGCTTGCAAAGACCTTTCCAACGATATATTATGAGCCCAATTCCGATGAATATTGAGGAAGTTATGGCCATTTTACCAAACTGGGCCCGGTTTGAGCTTTATATGCGGCCCAATGATCTAGAGAAGGGCCTAATATGATTTATCATTTCTAATGCAATTAGGAATGGTTTTAGTCTTCTAGATTCTTCTAGAAGATTCTTTTCATTCCTAATTCAATTAGCATTGATAAATTGACTTTTGTTGACTTTTCAGAGTTTTAATCAAAATCAAATAGCATTTTCGAGGAAATTATATGATTTTATCCTCCAGTACGGCAAACTTATTGGATTTTCGAAAACGCGTTAAAATTAGGCTTGGCGCCTGACCCCAGGCCTTGGCGCCTGGCGCTAGTGTTGGTGCCTGGCGCCAGCTAGCCAGGGTTGGCGCCAACTCTGTTTTTTGTGTGTCAGACTCTGTTTTTTTTTAATTTATCTTTTTGGATGATTTTCTCTATAAATATCGTATTAAAAACTCCATTTTCTTTATTCATTCATCATCAACTCTCTTCATCAATTCTACCGATTCATTCATCACCAATTCTCATCAAGTTTTCTTGATTATTTCAATTCTTTCTTTCTTTCTCTAAACTTTGCTTTTACATACAAAATTCCGCATTCACAAGATCTAGAAACACCTAGCCATATTCGAAGTTGCCTTCGCCCTAGACGTGAAAGGTTTCATTTATGAGGGTTTGGTCCCAAATTTCTATTTCAATTATTTAATTTAATTGTTTGTTTTATTATTTTCCTTGAAGTTACTAACGTGTGTATTTTGTTATTAGAAAAAGGTACGAGGCATCAAAGTAAGTACTTTAATGGTTTTTATTGATGTTATGATGTAGAAATCATGTTTACATTGTTATTATGATATTCCTAGTATCATGTCTAGGGTAGTTTTAATATTAAATATGATTCATGCGATGCTTCCTATGTTCTTTCTAATATTTATGATTGTTAGTATCATGTTAGGGTTAAAGATTTGATTTTTATTGTTTAGTGACATGCTAGGGTTTGTTATTAATCTTGTTAGTATCATGCCTAGGATCTTGCTATTATTATGCTTTAATATTAACATGATTATGATTATAATTGTTATAATTTATGATGATTTTGAATATTATTATTTTATTTATGATGATTATTATTATGATGATTATAATTTTATTGTCGTGATTATGATTATAACTATGTTGCTTGATTATATTTATTTTGTTATTGCTTGATCACCTTTGATGCATGTTTAAAGGGAATTGGTACTTGTAATCACGCTTAATAAGATAATTAATAATCTTGTTAGGGTTAATTATGATTATAATTTCAAGTGATCGCCAATAATAGATTTATTTGTGCATTAATATTCAACCAACATAGATAAACAGGTTTAGGGTTAACTTATTGATTGCATGTTAATCAGAAAGCGCACATGAATACGATCAGAATAAAGTAGAGGCCTATTATTAGGGCAGGTTCAATCTCTTTTAGGTTGGATTTGTACCTTCATCCCCGAACCCTTATTTGGTTCTAGACCTTATGGAGTTGACGATCTCTTGGATCGTTAAGGGGCGTAACCTTCACCTCGTGAACGGTTTACAAGTTCCTTAAAAACTTGTTGGCGACTCTTTTGCTCTATCTTCTTCCCTTTTGGATGCCACTGTACTTTAGTGTATGACCACAGTGGGGTTCAAGCTAGTGGGATTAAAGCTTGAAATTTATTCCCTACAATAACGTTAGTCAAATCAAATGATAATAATAACCCTAATCATGATACTAGCAATATTAAAATAAAATAAGTAATTAAATTTCTTAATTACTCACATTCCGCGCGTTCCTTAAAATTGCTACATCATGAATAAATTGTTAGTAACTTCAATAAAAGAATATAAATCAAATGAAAATTAAATTAAAAAGTAAAGTTGATTTGGTCAAAACTCTCAGTCAATTATACCTTTCACGCCTTGGTTTAAGTACAGAATTTTGGGTATTATATGGACTCCTTGGAGTGCTTAAGGAAAGTAATAATGTAGTTAGCAGGAATATATGTTTAAGGCTTAGAATATGGGAGAGAGAGAGAAGAGAATGATTTTTGGTGTAAAAGAGAGGAAGAGAGAATGATTTGATGATCAAGCTTGTTGATGATTGAAAAAGGGGAGATATGACCTCTATTTATAATGAAAAAGAAGGGTCGAAGAATTAAGAAAAGATAAGAATTCGAATTAAAATAATATTGTTGCGATAGACAGCAGATTTTGCGGTTTTTGTTTTTATCATATCTTTTGATCCAAAAATCGGAATAAGATAAATAAGATATCGTTGGAAAGCTCTTGAAGTCTACTTTTAACCCAATTAGAACCAGATTAAAATATTTTGTAGAATAAAAGATATGTCCGAAATAGTGAGACGGTGTCAGTTTTGGATAGAGTTTGATATTTTATTCATATCTTTTCCGTTATAGATAGGAATTGATATTATAATATATCATTGAAAAGATAATTTCAAGGGCTATCCAACCATATAAATTTTGATAAAAAAATATGAGGCACAAAAATCATATCTGACTATCTTTGAATGTCTTTTAATTCGGATAGAAATAGGATTTTCAAAAAGAAAAGTTTTATTCAATTTCAAACTCTTTAATCTTATCTTTTCATAAAGGATAATTAAGATATTTTAGAAACTTATAGAAGCTTCTAATTAATCCTAATTGGTTTAGGAATGGGATTAAATAATTTGGACCCTCCACATGATCATTGGGTCGTAGGTAAGGTGGGCTTAGGTTCGGTTTGGGCTCAATTTAATATTTTGGCCATAACTTATTCGTTATAACTCGGATTTGGGCTTATAATATATCGTTGAAAATCTCTTTTAAAGCCTCATACAACTATTAAATCATTGAACCCAGATAATGGACCAAAATAAAGTGGACTAAATATTTTTATAAAAAGGACACGAAATGAATGATTTTTAAGGACACGAAATGAATTATTTTGGGTTTAAAGGCACGAAAAGAGGAAAATAAGTTATGGTTTGGGGAAATGGGATAGGAGTTGGGTTGGTTTTATGAAATGAAAATATGGATTTAAGCACTCCAAGATTAAATACTCAACCCGACCAATAATGGCGGTGAAAGGTTGTTCATCATCGGGTTTGGTTTTGGGGAGACATTTTTAGGTGTCTACAGTACCCGATAATCGATCCGAAAATCCGGGTACCCGAACTTATCGGTTCGGGTTAGTGATATCACTTTTAGGGATTTTGGTTATCGGGTACCTGAACCGTTAGTACTAATGGTACGGGTACCCGTCCCATGCTCACCCCTACTTCACACTATTCAGTACTCCTTTTTTAACCGTTTTTGTAAATAATTACTACCTCCGTTTTTTTTATGTGCAACTTTGGGACTAAAAACAGTTCACGAGGCAAAAGATTGAATGGTAAAGATTAGGAAAAGTAAGTGGGTTTAATTAAAGTAGAAGGAGAGAGAAAGTGTGGACCACACTTTATTTTGTTGGTGGGAAATTTTGGCAGAAAGTACAAAAGCCAAAATTTCCCCCAACAAACCCACCGAAAATTTAAAAGGTGGGATTTTTTGGGGTGAAATTTTTGTTTCCCCCCCTTTTTTAAAAATTTGATACCAAAGTTATTTTTTTCCAAAATATTTAGGAGGCTATATAAACATTCATGCCCCCATAATTTTCTACCATTCAGCATTAAAGGAGGGAATAAAAGCATCGTCCATTGTCAACCAATAATTACAATCAATATTGTTTGAAGGTGGGTGACACATTCCACCAAAAACTGAGTTTGTTCCCAAAAGATTACCAATTCTAACATAAACCGTTACGGTTAGCATAATTACACACTACAAACTATTGAAAGCTTTACAAAAACAGGGCTTCTCTACTGTCCTTCCTGCACAAGTGGGTTTAGTGTTCATCTTCAACCCACACAACTCAGCAGGGCCCTGACTCCACCCCCCTGTGCTGTAAAACAGAAATGGCAGAAAATGATGACTCTGTTTTTTTTATATCGAACACATTCTAAATGAGGAACAGATGGCAGAGTTGTGGTTTGAGGAAGAAGAAGAAATGCAGGATGCAGACATTTGGGAGTACGACTCAGAAGATGAAATCATGGAGGGCAACCAAGAAGAAGAAGAACAACAACAACAACAGGCAGACACTGATGTTCAACAAACACAAATGCAACAGCAAGCTCATGGAGGGACTCATAGTGTATGCAGAAAGCAGTTAACATTGCAGCAAAGAAGGAAAATCGTAGATGCAATTTTGGTGAAAATGAACAATGGGACATTACCAAGGGGTCACATGAAGCAATTATCATCTGAATTCAATGTTCACAAATCAACAATCACAAGAATTTTCACAGCCATAAAAAGGCAGCTGGCATTAGGGGACTTGATTGATGTCAGGACTAAAAAAATTGGCAAAACAGGGAGAAAGCCATTGCAAATTTCTGATGAAACTCTCCAGTCAGTCCTGATTAGGGGATTTCGCTCCACCAATCGGAATACGCCACGTGGGCCAATCAGGTCCTGCCAAGTGTCCCCCAGTTGGAACTGTCAGGGCTTGCCACGTGGCACACGCTTATTCGTCCACCTTGGACCTATTATGTCATGACACGTGGCATACTCCATGCCTAATGGAGAAACCGGCCACCCAGGCCCAACTTCCGAGGGAAGCCCAATCAGCCCAAGGTTAACCTAAACCTAGGATTGGCACGCTTCTCAAAGACTATAAATACTTAATTAATCCTCATTAAAGGGGATTAAGCAATTAAACACTCTCACCTAGAGAGACCCAATCACTTTAATTTCTGCATTAATTACTCCTCAAACAAGTACTAACTTGACCGTTGGAGGCGGAGCTCCCACCTCCAGGAGTCTCCGTTGTTTTGCAGGTACAGGCGTCCGGTTCCAGTCTCGGAATTGTAACTCTCCCGCAGGACATCAGAAAACCCCGAAACATTTGGCGCCGTCTGTGGGGAGAGTACTTCTGAGATGGCATCCAAGTCTGTACCGACTCCTGAAGAGAGGCGTCCCCTAGACGACCCTCTAGTTCAGTCGGACCACGATACTGAGAATGAATTTGAAGTTGAAGCTCACACAGCTTCAGACGGGACCCTAAGGGCCCGACGTACCCGTCATACCGAAAGGAGGGAACGGGAACATCTTCATACTGAAAGTGAGCCAGCAGGCGCACCGCCCTGTTCGGCAACAGCCGACTGACGGGTCTGCTCCCATCACAAGGAACGAACTCATGACCTTCATGAGGGACTTCAAGGGAGAAATTCAAGAGTTGATCAAACAGAAGTCGCCTGCTCTGGACAAGGAGCAGTCGGCTAAGAAACCCTCCACTTCACAGAAGAGGAAGCCAGTTCAAGGGCGAGAGGCGACTCCTCATCCTAAATCTAGGAAGCGGGAGCCGACTGCCCTTGATTTCACAAAATACTGTTTTCCTACTCCAGGAACTAGGAAACCTGTTCGTCATATTCAGGCGGACGGGTCGAAGAAAACATACACAGACGCTCGGCTACTGCTAGAGCAGAAGAAGAGTGACCGATTGTCAGAGCCGGCCTCTACTTCAAACTTCCAAGACAGTCTGCGAAATACCTCGATGAGGCATACTCAGTCGTATCATGAGAGTCAGTCAGGCGGCACCTCCCGTCAGTCCGGCTATCATAGCGACCAGGCGGTACCAAACTTACCGTTTGTACCGCAACAACAGTATTTCTTACAGCCACCTCCGTTTGGTGGACATGCAGCAAAAAACGTTCAACCTATGGACTGGCAGCTACGGTTGCTTAGACTTGGCGAACAGGCGTCGGCCTTCTCCAAGGAAATTACTGAAGCCGCTCAGCCGGCCAAAGTGAAAAATGTATTAGTAGGCGCCTATGACGGCACTACTAACCCAGAAGACCATCTGATGGCATTCACCAACCTGATGTACCTTTAAGGGTTGGATGATCCCACTTGGTGCAAGTGTTTCCCAGCGACTCTCAAAGGAATCGCACAACACTGGTTCGGCAACCTGCCGACTGGTTGTGTAAATAACTTCAGGACGCTTACTTACCTATTCACCTCCAACTTCGCCATGAACATCCCTGCGAAGAAGACGACTCTTGATTTAGGAACAGTTCAGCAGAGTGAGAAGGAGGGGCTTCGCTCTTACATCAGGCGGTTTAACCTGATGAGAATACAGATTCAAGGGTTACCGGATGAAGTAGCCTATACTGACTTTTTCAGAGGTCTCAAAGACGGGTCGACCTTCAAATTTGATTTGGTCCGAAAGAGGGTGGCGACTCTTCAAGAGGCCTTGATTGAAGCGGAAGCCTATATACAGGCGACTGATCTTTGTAGTACGGGAAAACAGTCGGACGGGAAAAGGTCCGACAAAAGAGAAGGACGACAGAAGCAGTCGTCCAACAAAGACGAGAAGAGAAAAGAGGTCTGGGCGGCTGATTCCTCTAAACAGCCAGCCCAGAAAAAGAAAAAAGAATTCAAACCATACTCCCCAAAGTATGCGTTTAACAAGGATAGCCAATTTATCCTAAAGGAAATCAAGGGACGAATCTCAATTGAGAAGCCGGTCCCCATGAAGGGTTCTGCAAACTATCGAAACCAAGAAAAATTCTGTGATTATCATGAAGATGTTGGTCATCACACCAATGAATGCATCAGTCTCATGCGGTATCTGGACCGCCTGGCTGAGCAAGGTGATCTTGACACTTATGTCAAGAAATCTACGGGGAACACTTCCTCAAAAAAGCAGTCGGCCAAAAAAAATCAAAAGGCTGACAGCTCCGATACAGATGATGCAGTCGTCTACACCATTGCAGGCGGCTTCTCAGGAGGCGGCCCCACTATTAGGGGCAACAAAGACAATATCAAGCGGTTAGATGTAAATTCCGTTCACCATAAACGCCCCTCCAAATATTCATTTCCTGAGATTGTCATCACTGAAGAAGATCTAGGAGGGGTAAGAGGGCCGCATGACGACCCTATCGTTATTGAATGTAAAGTGGCCAACCAGAGAGTTGGCCGAATCCTCAAAGATACCGGAAGCTCCTCAGATCTCATCAGTAGCAAATGTCTGTCGAAACTAAAATATCAGACTGATTGCATACATCCGGCATCCCACCCTTTAGTAGGGTTTGGAGGAGGAGGAGTCCACCCAGTGGGACGAGTGGATTTACCCATCCGCCTGGGCGAAAAAGGGGAAGGACGACACATGGTAGTCCGGTTCCTAGTAGTAGAAGAACTCTCGGCTTACAACATGATTCTGGGACGACCAACCTTGAATAATTCCAAGGCTGTTATAATCCCATCTCTTATGTTGCTCAAGTTTGAGAGGGATAATGGAACAGTCGGGTCCCTAAGGGGAGATCAGAGGATGGCCCGAGAGTGCTATCTCTCGGATGTCAAGCCCACTGTTATGGCCTCTGGGTCAGGTGGTGGAAAAACAGATCTTGACAATGTCAAGGAGAGTGCGCCTGTTCAAGAAGCAGGCGGCAAGAAGAGAAAGGCAGCCCAGACGGGGGCCGCAAGAAAAGACAGAAAATAGCAATCATTGGCAGAGGAGCGGTCGGATGAATTCCGCCCTCAGCCGGCTGGTGAGCATACGGACCTGATCCTAGACGACTCACGTCCTGACCAAACAGTCAAAGTTGGGACGACTGCTCTGAGAGTCCTAGGTGACGACTTTCACAAACTATTGAAAGAATACAAGGACATCTTTGCATTCGAAGTCCATGAAATTCCAGGCATTAGTCCTGATCTGGCGGTACATAAACTGGCCGTGGATCCGAAAAAGAAGCCGGTACGGCAGAAGAAGCGGAACCATGGCGAAGAAAGAAGTCAGGCGGCAGCCGCCAAAGTTAAAAAATTACTTGATGCAGGGTTCATTCAGCAATGTTACTTCCCAGACTGGGTTGCAAATGTGGTGCTTGTTAAAAAGCCGAATGGCACCTGGAGAATGTGTGTAGACTACACAGACTTAAACAAGGCATGCCCCAAAGACAGTTACCCTCTGCCTAAAATTGATAACCTGGTCGACTCAACAGCCGGCCATGCTTTGATGAGCTTTATGGACGCCTACTCTGGTTTCCATCAAATTCCTTTATGGAAGAAAGATCAGGAGAAGACGGCCTTCGTCACTATATGACTCTTCGAGTAATGCTATATGACGAAGAGGCAAACTGGGAAGCCATGCGCCTGACATTAGACTCACTTCCTGAAAGGAGGGGCAATGCTGTCTTGCGCCATGAAATTTACCGCCTGAGAATGACTAGATCATACAACAAAAAAGTACACAGGCGTCCACTCAAAGTGGGGGACTTTGTACTTAGAAAAATGGAAGCAGTTGGTAGGGCTAATGAGTCTGGCAAACTAACTCCCAACTGGGAAGGACCCTACCGAATCTGTGAAGAGGTCAGGGACGGTACCTACCGTCTGGGAACACCAGACGGACAACCGTTGCCTCGAACTTGGAATGTAGATAATCTTAAGAATTATTTCTTTTGAATGATGTAAATAGTCAAGGGCTACTTAATAAAAGTTTGCGTACTTAATATTCAATTTTGTACTAAGAGGGGCACGCCTACTAACAAACAGTCGGCTACTCTCCATGTTTAATTTTCTCTTCAGAGGGGCATGCCGTCTGTACCTTTACAGTCGGCTACTCTCCATTGAGTATTTTACTCTGTCTTCAGAGGGGCATGCCGTCTGTACCTTTACAGTCGGCTACTCTCCATAGAGTATTTTACTCTATCTTCAGAGGGGCATGCCGTCTGTACCTTTACAGTCGGCTACTCTCCATAGAGTATTTTACTCTATCTTCAGAGGGGCATGCCGTCTGTACCTTTACAGTCGGCTACTCTCCATAGAGTATTTTACTCTATCTTCAGAGGGGCATGCCGTCTGTACCTTTACAGTCGGCTACTCTCCATTGAGTTTTTCTCTCCATAGGGGCATGCCGTCTGGACATATAGTCGGCTACTCTCCATAAAAGAGGGCCGACTGGTTCCAAACACAAGGCCACCCCCCTTAACTAAAAATGATCAGGGCCTGGCCGACCCTGTGCCTAACAGGCGGCTACCCTCCTTCCACTTAGCACCTACGTTCACCAAGAACTAACCAAGGCCACAGGCCGAATGATCAGACCAGGCGCCAAGCCAACTGATCAAATCTTCAAAACTAATACGACCTGTCCCAACATCATAGCAGGCGTCCGGCGGCATCCCTCCGGATGAAATTCGTCGCAGAGAGCATCTCCCTTTTGGGTGGAACATTTCTCTATAAACTAATTACACGGCACCTATACGACTGTCCCCAAGGGCAACCACGTAGCCGTTTTTGAGACAAGGATAACTCTATCACTAACCAAACCAGTTGTAGCATTTGACATCTGAGTCAGATGACCGCCTGTATTACTTGGGATAAATGCAGGGGGTACCTCTTGAGTTAATAGCCAACAAACATTGGCGAATCAAAAGGTTCAGTCGGCCTCCGCCGCCTGGTACCTTTACTACTCAAGCAGGAGTGACGGCGACCGAGTAACACCAAAGTTAACTCATAGTCACTCTCTCAAACTTAGTATGGAGCCTAAAAGGTATGAGTCGTCCGCTTGTTTTTAGCAAACAGGGGCTCTCAACCACTACTCCTGCTAGGTTAACAACCTATGAGTTAAAAGCCAACAAACATTGGCGAATAAAGGGGAACAACCGGTACCCACCGCTTGATACCTCTACTACTCAGTTACTTGGCGACTAGGTAACAATCATGTTTACTTGGTCAAACCACTTTCCTACTTGGTTAATTTTACAAATGACAGGACCGCCTGCCTAAAGGGGATCCAGTCTTTAAAATGGTTCGAATACCGATTGGATAAATGGCCGACTGATCGTCTAGCCTGGAAACAGACAACAAGTCGTCCAGGGGCATAGGCGGCGTGACTAACTATCCGTACCTGTCTGCAACTATCGGCCAAGTAAAACAGTCGGTATAGTATACAATTGGATATCAGAATATTCAATACTTGAACAAATTTGAAGCAAAACAAAAAATTCATTAAAAAGAAGCCGGTCATTAAAGACCGGCACAATATTCAGAGCCCCGGCCCCCTGGCCGGGTAAATACAAAACAAACGGCACGCAGGCCGTGGAAAGAAGACATAAAACTTAAGAAGGGGGCAGATCTTCAATATTAGCAGCTGCCACCTGGTCAGCACTCTTCTTGCTGGACTCGGCTTCAGCTGCATCCTTTTTTGATGCATTACCCCCAAGCGGCACAAGCGCCACTACCGGCTCCTCCTCCTCCAACGCCTCTCCAACGCCTCTTCCTCAGCAGCCGCCAGGATCTCTTGATTATATATATCAGAACACTGGCGGTACGTTTTTTCCCATGAGGCAAAGTCGGCATTGGGGAAGAGGCGGCCCCAAGTCATGCGCTGGATTTGAGCAGAGTCTTCCATCATCTCCCGGACCAGCTCTTTCTTTTCTTGCTCGGCCTTTTCCGAGAGCTCCTGAGTAAGACTCTTCTCCTGGGTCACCAGGCGTACCTTTATGCTCGCCAAGGATTTCTCCAAGGTTTCGTATGAGGACATCTTTTGGCGAAGAGGTCTCAGCTCGGCCTTGAGATTGTTGATGGTCGCCTCCAGCTCGCTATTCCTCTTCTAGGCCGCCTCTAACTGAGCCCGGATAGCGGCGGTAGCCTGCGCCTGATAATAAAGAATATCAATGGTCAGAACTTCATTTTGGGCAATTTGAAACATTGCCTTATCACAGTTAGAGGCGGCCATAGCTTTTGCAGCCTTTACCTCTTTGTTCTTCCGGTCAAGCGGCTTGCGAAGGCCGTTCACTCGGAGCAGGGCCTAAGTAAAAAGGGGAACATGCGTCAGTTTCCAAACAAAAAAGAAAACAGGCGTCCTGGAATTCAAATACTCAAAAATATGCTAAGTATACCTCAGCAAGGACCCCTGCAATCCCGTCTAGGTAAAGGGTGCCGACACCCCTAACCGCCTCCCTTTCAGCTGGAGGAACGACCTTGATCATAGACTTGGCCACCTCGACCAAGTCAGGCCCCTGAGGGCCGGCTGCATCAAGCATAAACAAACGGTTTAGACCTAGTAAAAAAGGGAGCAAGTCTAAAATTTACAAGGACAACTTCATACTTCTAGGCGGCCCAGCTGGAGTTTTAGAAGAAGTGGCCGGCTGTTTCTCAGCCGCCGCATGTTTCCTGGCAGAACCAGGAGAGCTCGCAACAGTCGTCCTCCGGGCCTTGGGGTCCGGCTGTTGGGAAGAAGAAGCTCTTGGAGCGCCCGTCTAAAAAAAAAGAAGTCAGTATATGCATAAACAACTCCAAAAAGAGGGTGAAAGGTTCGAAGCCCACCAAGGGTGCCCCCTTGTTGGGGGAGTCGGTTGAAGACTGTTGCATGATGGAGGCCCGCAACATGGCCGCCACAGTCTTGGAGGCGGTAATTTTGCTCATAGCGTCCGCTGCAAAAACAAATAGCAAAGTTAATAAGTCATAACAAGAAATGCATGGAACAACAGAGTATTCGACAGGCCGGCTACGTCTTGAGCACCGACTGCTGAGGCCACAGGCGGCCAAAAAGTACTCGTCGTAGAGCCATTTGAAGCTCGGGATGCAGTGCAGGGGTACTTGCTCTCGTACCCCTGAAGTAGAGTTCACCTTCGACTCTACTTTGAAGAGTCCTTTATCTAGGATCTCTTTCTTAGCCTTGGGGGGAACAGGCGGCATGCTGCGGCCGCCTGCAAGAAGGGGCGGATTCCTGTTCCACCTGTTGAAGCGCTTGTTCAGCTCTGTGTCTGAACTCTCAATGATGAGGAAGGTGCTCCGCCAGTCCTTCCATTTGTTTGCTTTACCTCTCGTCATGAGGTAGCCCCTGTGGCTCGTCAATTGGTACCAGCCGGTACCGCCTGCCTTAGGGGTCCGGCTGAGGTAGTTCATGTGGGCGAAAGCCTCGAAGCTCGGCTCCACCCCGTGCAGTTCGCACCCGGCCACATAGCCGAGTACGTTGACCCAGGAGTTCGGGGCTAACTGCCATAACCCTAACTCATACCCATCCAAGATCCGCTGAACAGCCGGATGTAGTGGGAAGCGCAGCCCAGCCTTGATGGCCGCCTCGTAGCAGCCAAAGCAGGCGCTATCATAACTGGAACCAGCCGGCCAGACGACTGTGTCTTCTGGATCCGGCACAAACACTAAAAAGCCGGGGCCCATTGTGTGGTTTGCGATAAAGCTCTCCACTTTCTCTTGCATGGCTGTGATCCGGCCCCGAGGTACCGTGCAGTAGTAGGGGGTATTTTGCTCTCGGTAAGAGGCGGATGGCTCCGCCCAATCGTCCCCCTTCTCAACTGCGTGAGAAAAGCCTCGCCTCTTGCAGGCGAATGTTTTTCTCTTCTGTGTCCAAAGAAGCATGGCCAGAAGAGCTAGACTCGGAATCGCCCTCTGACGAGTCCGAAGAGGACGACTCCTCCCCTCTCCCGGAGGGGCCCGCCTCCTCTCCTTTAAAAGGAGCAGGAGAGAATGAAGAATTGTCAACTGTAAAAAGGGAAGGGGTCACTTTGACTCCTCCCTCAGAACTGTCGGCTTTCAAGCCGCTTTGTTTCACTTCCGCATCTGGCGCCTGATCAGATGTTTCACTAATCGGCACCCTGTGGGAGGAGCCGTCTGAATTTGAGATCCTGGCAGTCTTTTTTGTTCTGGCCATCATGCTCTGCATAGACACAGATACAGTCGGACTTTGTATAAAGGGCAAAGATGGGTCCAGAAAAGGGCAGGCGGCACTCCTAGTCCTAGATTCAGCCGTCCCCGGTGGCCGGCTGATCACTAACCTAGGTCGTGTCGTGTGCTTCCGTGGTGCCATTTCAAAAAATAATAAAGTAAAGAGAAAATTAAGAGTAAGAGAACCGACGGTTACCTGAACGAGTGACGATTGATGAAGTTCTGAAAATCCTTTGCAATCGGCTTGTCAGAGCAGGCGGTAGGCAGAAAGGGTCCAAAATGTCAGAGCAAGTTCAGGGGTCCGAATGTTCTCTCAAAAAGTTCTCAAGTGTGAAAATGACTGAAGTCAACACTCCCTTATATAGGCGAAGTGAGAAGGCGAAGGGTCACTTGCAGAATTCATAATTTGGGCGGGAGAATCTCTCGGCCTTTCGCCGAGTGACACCTGTAGCAGGTCGTCGCCTGTTACAGTGCGACACCTGTCACAGGTAACACGTGACCAGTCACGTGCCACCTGTGAGGGGAAAATGATTAGGGGATTTTGCTCCCACCAATCGGAATACGCCACGTGAGCCAATCAGGTCCTGCCAAGTGTCCCCCAGTTGGAACTGTCAGGGCTTGCCACGTGGCACACGCTTATTCGTCCACCTTGGACCTATTATGTCATGACACGTGGCATACTCCATGCCTAATGGAGAAACCGGCCACCCAGGCCCAACTTCCGAGGGAAGCCCAATCAGCCCAAGGTTGACCTAAACCTAGGATTGGCACGCTTCTCAAAGACTATAAATACTTAATTAATCCTCATTAAAGGGGATTAAGCAATTAAACACTCTCACCTAGAGAGACCCAATCACTTTAATTTCCGCATTAATTACTCCTCAAACAAGTACTAACTTGACCGTTGGAGGCGGAGCTCCCACCTCCAGGAGTCTCCGTTGTTTTGCAGGTACAGGCGTCCGGTTCCAGTCTCGGAATTGTAACTCTCCCGCAGGACATCCGAAAACCCCGAAACAAGTCCCACTACATCTAAAGCAGACAGAAAGGAGCTATGCAGGAGCATTGAAGATTAGTCTTAGTACAGTTCACAATTTGAAGAAGAGGGGAAGGCTAAGAACACACACATGCTGCAACAAACCATTGCTAACAGCAGACCATAAGATTGCCAGACTAAGATGGGTTTTGTCGCATATAAATCCAGTTACAGGGCATGAGGACCCCACATTTGTTGACATGAGGAATGTCATACACTGTGATGAGAAGTGGTTCTACTTTAACCCTGACAAAAGGAGGTTTTATCTACTGCCAACTGAGGATGATCCCTACATGGCAGTTCAGTCAAGAAGATTCAAGCTCACGGCAATGTTCATGACAATCATAGGGAAGTCATTATATGGCATAAATGGAGAATTGTTACATGATGGGAAGTATGGCATCTTCCCATTCACTGTCCAGATAGAAGCACAGAAATCAAGCAAGAAAAGACCAAGAGGGACTATGGAAACTAAGGCACTCCAGAACATAAACAGATAAGCAATCAGAGAGATGCTACTAACAAAGGTCATTCCAGCAATCATGTCAAAGTGGCCTGAAGGTCTGCCCAAGGATGTGGTCATCCAATGGGACAATGCAAGGCCTCACCAAGTTCCTACAGATGCTGAGTTTCTAGCAGCAACAACAGCTAATGGGTTTAACATTCAATTTGTTTTTCAGCCAGCTCAGTCCCCTGATTTGAATGTCCTTGACTTAGGGCTATTTAGGTCTATATAGTCTTTGCAATATCAGTCTTTTCCTAGGGACTTAGATGAGCTGGTTGCAAAGGTGAAAGAGTCTTATGACACATTCAACCCCCAGGTTAACAAGTACATCTGGGTTACATTGCAAAAATGTATGATTAAGATACTCAAGGCTGAAGGTGGTAACAAGTACAAAATACCACATATGAACAAAAAAAAGCTGGAAAACCTAGGCAATCTTCCAGATTTGGTAGAGGTTCAGAAGAAGGATGTATTGGAGGCTGTGGAGTACCTAAACACTATGTTTAGGCCAGCAAATCAAGGGACTCAAGAACTCACAAAAGATTTGGAGGTGGATGCAGATTAGGGGACTCTTTACAACAACCATGCAACACATGGACTGCCACACATAACCACTTCTCCTAGTAAGTTTTATTGGTTTTTTTTTTTCCCAAAAACATTTTGAACAATCAAGTGGTTAGGTGTATTTTGTTGATTACAATTACCCAAACAAGTCAGGTAGTCTGAAGTAATGTCATTAGATTATAATATAGTCTTTTGTAAAGTTTTATGTTCATTACTCAAACATATTGTATTTTGTACCCACATTTTTAGTTGATTATGAATGACAAAGATAGACAATTTATGTGGGCACTAAATCCATCAGAGGGTTATAATGTTGAATACCACACATATGCACAAGGGTACCTCAACAACAACAACAACTTGCATGTTGATGGAGCAAATCACTTGTGCATATTGAAATTCATTGGAGTCCCTTCATCATGTGGATATGGGTAAGCAAAATAGCATGTCAAAGTAGGGGATTCTTTAATAAACAAGAAACAGAAGGCAACATCAGGGGATTCCTTTTAAGGGACCGACTAGGCAACAATGAACATGCACAAGACACCAGCCTCATCATTCACCAATCAAGTCCACACAGCCAGCACAGTGTACCCCAAGGAACTACAACACAATTAACATAGCCAACAACCCAAGATGCAACCAGATGTACCAACACACACATGCAACCAGCAATTAATCTCCCAGATATAACATAACCATCAACCCAACATGCTATCAGGCCACAGGCCACAGATTCCCACAAAACAGCAGTAAGCTAAATAACATATCAAAGTAGGGGGCTCTTTAATAAACAAGAAACATAAGGCAACATCAGGGGATTTAGGTTAGGGGACTGTCTAGGCAACAATGAACATGCACAAGACACCAGCCTCATCATTCACCAATCAAGTCCACACAGCCAGCACAGTGTACCCCAAGGAACTACAACACAATTAACATAACCAACAACCCAAGATGCAACCAGATGTACCAACACACACATGCAACCAGCAATTAATCTCCCAGATATAACATAACCACCAACCCAACATGCTATCAGATCCAGGCCACAGGCCACAAATTCCCACAAAACAGCAGTAAGCTAAATAGCATATCAAAGTAGGGGGCTCTTTAATAAACAACAAACATAAGGCAACATCAGGGGACTCCTTTTAAGGGACTCAGTAGGCAACAATGAACATGCAGAAGATCAACACAAAAATACAAATAAACCCTAACATTTAACATAATCATCAACCCACCAATAAACAACAACGAGTCAAAGTTACCCATAACAGCAAACCCTTAGCATCCAGCGTATATCAACACAACAAACAACCCATCATGAAACCACAACCAGTCAAACAATCCCGCAATAAACAGTGAAACCCTAGTTTCAGCCATAGATCAACCGGCACAAAAATTAGGACTCTTTTAAAATTTAAAAAATTTAAAAAAATTAGGAATAGGAATCGTTACGCAAGGCTCAGGGCTCAGCCTCCTCATCAGAGGACAGCACCACGAGGTCGGCCTCCAGCAAATCAGCCAACCCGCGCATACGCCTCATCACCACCACCGTAGCCTTCCTCTTTCGCCAAAGCTTCAGAGGAGGCCTGTAAACCTTAGATCCGCGCTTGGGGGGGGGGGGGAGGGCGCAACACTGACCTCCACAGAATCGGACTCCAGATCTACATCTTTAACCTCAAAATCAATTTTTTTTTGGCATGGGAGTCACCTTCACCCTCCTCTTTGTTCGTCTTCTCCCCCTCGTCGATATTTTTCAGGACTTCCCCCAAAGCTTTGAAAGTCGTCGGAGAACAGCAACTTGGGCCTTCCTCAGAGTTGTAAAGGTGGCGAGGAAAATCATTGCCCCGGTTGATGTCGTTAATGAGGGACTTGATAAACTTAGCCTCACTCTGTGAATCTATGCCAATATAGGCGTCAATAAGTGGATCTAGGTCATGTAACGGAATTGTAACGTCTGGATGCCTCTCGAAAGGGGAGGGAAAGGGGGAAGACATGATTGTGGGACTCTGAATTTTTCTAGAAAGAGGCGAAGGAAACGAAGAAGACGAAGAACAGGAACCCTAGAACACGAAGAACAGGAAAAGGAAGAAACTGACCTAGGGTTCTATTGAATTCTCTAGATCAGTTTAGAAAAGGTGGTTGGGAAGATGTAGAGTTGTGTCGTTTGGGGGGTAAATTGGAGGGAGTAATTAGGTTAGGTTAATTTAGGTGTGTTAAATTAAGTTAGGGTTATGGGTAATGAGGGGTAAAAGTAAGATGATTAAATTTTTTAAGTGGGGGTAATATAGTAAATTCAAGGGTTTTTATTTACCAAAAATGGAATGAAAAAGGAAAGTTGCACATAATAGTGAACGGACTAAAATGGCAAAAGTTGCACATAAAAAAAACGGAGGTAGTATAAAGAAAAACTTATCTATGAAGGATATTGTTATACTCATCCTAATAACTAGATTTTACTACTATCATAATATTTATAGGAAATTTTGTTCTAAAAAAAAATTGTGTATAAGATAGGTTGTTTTGTGAATTACCCATTTTTTTAATTTGTTTATATGCCCGTAAGTTAACAAATGTTTGTCCATCACTACTTAATAACGTTTTACCTAATAACATTTTTCGTCCAAATTAGACGTAAGTAGGGCTCACTTTTTCTCTTTCTCACCCAATTAACTCCCCTCGCTCTCTTCTTTCACCTTCCACATTTCACCATATTCACTAGTAGAAAAATACAAATAGGCAGCCCCCAATTGGCACCGGTTCAGACCAAACCGGTGCCAAAAACCGGCCTAAAATTGGGCGGGGATTTAGACCAAGAACAATGGCACCGGTTCAGATCAAACCGTTGCCAAAAATAACAAGGCCACCGGTTTGAACCGGTGCCACTGAACCGGTGCTACAAAAAAAAAAAACCCGGATTGTTTATTTATAAACCCTAACATCCTTATCTCTCCTCTTAGCTTCTCTCTCCTCTCTTTCTCCTCCAAGGCTCCAACTGAGCGCCTCTCCTCCTTCTCCTCTAACTGAGCGCCTCTCCTCCTCTCTCCTCTCTTTCTCCTCTCAGCTTTCCGACCTCTGTTCTCTGTCTCTCTCCCCTCTCTGTCCTCTTCTTCTGACCTGAAAACTACATCTAAGCCCGGCTTCGTCCCTCTCGCAGTAGGTGCTTCTTGCTCGCCTCGCTCTTGTGACATGCATGCTATCTTAGAGTGAGGTAATTGATCTTGGAATTATTTGATCTTGGAATTATTTGGGTTAATTGATTTTGTCATTTTTTTGCACTTAATTGATTTTTCGAAATTTCTGGGTGTAATTGATTTTCGAAAGTTTTGGGGTTAAGTGATTTTCTGGGTTTGCTGGGTTTAATCGATTGCTGGGTTTGCTTCTTGGTTTAATTGATTTTCTGGGTTTAATCGATTTTCTAAATTCTGGGGTTAATTGAATTTCTAGGGTTAATCGATTTTCTGAATTCTGGGATTAATCGATTAATTCAGAAAACCCAGCAAAATTCTGGGGTAACCTAATTTTGCTGGGTTTAATCGATTGCTGGGTTTGATTTTGGGTTAATTGATTTTCTCGTTCATGCATTAGTTTTCTGGGTTTGCTTCTCGTTTTTTTTTTTTTTTTTTTTTTAGTTTTAATAATTTCTGGGTTTTAATTTATGCAGGTGTTAATTCAAGCAACAAGGATTCAAGATTTCGATTTTGGAATATTATTTTGATGTTGTAAATTATTTTTTTTTATTGTTTTACAATTTCAATTTCTGAGTTAATTATAATTCATTGTAATTTTTTTTTTGTTTTGTATGGTACAATAACAATTTACTTGTTGAATTACCATTGTTTTGATGTTGAATATAACAATTTCAAGAATCCTTATTTCACCATTTATTTTTGTTTGGTTCGTATTTCATGTTTGTTTGGTTCGTATTTCATGTTTGTTTGTATATTATTTTTATTATTATTGCAAGAAAAAAGTTAAAAAAAAAAAAATACCAAAAAGGCACCGGTTAACCGGTGCCTAAAACAACTACCACTAACAAAAAATATTCCGCGAAATTATTTAAGGCACCGGTTAACCGGTGCCAAAACCGGTTTATGGCACCGGTTTGAACCGGTGTCAATTAGGGGGTTTTTGGCCCCCCTCAAATAGGCTGCGGTTCAAACTGGTGCCTTAGACCGGGTTTGAACCGCTAATGCGTTTTTTCTACTAGTGATTCTTTTGACCTAAGCGAATCTCCACCATAATTTTCATCTCCTTCTTAGAAAATTGACATCCCTTACAGCCTTTTCTTTGATGTCTCTTTCTTTCCTGCTCATCTTGTTGTTATTTATGGTAATTTCAAGTGATGAGTGAAAATATTAGAATGCAATTGAATTCACTCCCAAAGCCAAAATAAGCAAAACCTCCCCAATTCAATTTCACCCA